GCTGTAGGCTTCGGGTCCATCCTCGTCTACTGGTGCCCGCTGCCGCCCGCTTCGTTGTATTCGACTGGCGAGTAATGAGCGATAGCCTACGTGTTCAAGGTACCTAGACACGTTCCTTTCGTCTAGGTTACGTTTGTAGTGCGCCTCGAAGCCAAACTGTCCAAGACCATCGACCACCTGGCCGAGGAAACGTCGGTTATGGCGTGGACGCAAGGACCCCGAGACTCACGAATCTACACCATCTGTAGCGCCTTCGGCAGTGAGAAACGCAATCTTAACGCAGACTTCGACTATGAAACGAGAAGAATATGCCCATGACGGCACTTTCCATCTCAATGCCAGATGCGGAGCCGGAGGATCGCGACGATGGCGAGAACAAATGCTCTCGGGATAGACTAACATGTTTTCAGCAGGGTATTTCTCGAGGTACAGTCCGTGCTTGTATGTTTGCTGAAAAGGTGTGTGTAGCTTTAATGTTAAGCGAGAGGATTGAGGCGATTGTCGTTGTAGTCGGTGTTTGGTTAGTTGATGCCGAAATCGAACTCGCGAGAACCGACCAACTACAAAGGTAAGACGACGGAGCTTGTGGAGGATATGGCTAGCTGTTCATATCGCATGCTACCATACATCATCCTGTTTTGTGTCGTTCCTTGGAGCTTCAACAATTGTTAGCTCTAGAGGTATCGAAAACTGTGCGAAGCAACAGACTGAACCCAACAGACTGAAACCTGCCAGACGAAATAAACAGACACAAGATTCTATCCATCAATGGCCAGTAACATAAAGGCATAGAACCAACAATGACGCGAAGCACAAATGTGAAAACAATCATGCACTACAGTTTCACCAGGGACCAGTATGGGTAAATAGCGTGAATGGAGCCGAGTAATTCTTTTGTTCAATCAAGTTTTCCTACTCCACTTCGCCTCTTGCTATGATTGGATTGGGAATAAAAAAAAACAAAAAACAAAGATGCCTCTTAACGCAATACGCCCTCCTCAACCACTGCTTGGATAGCAGCGTAACACCAAATAATGCAAAAGTCGCAGCATGAAGCGTTCAATACATCAATCAATCAAACCACTGGGGATTCCATTCCTTACCGCCGCAGCTCCAACGAAGCTAGACGTTATTCCTATCGTCGGGTCCTCAACTCATCAAAGGTATAGTGTCATGTGCCGAAAAACGTGGTGCTCGATAATAAAAAGGGTGACAGAGAAGCGAACTGGGGCATCGCGGAGACGAGAGTCTCGATGTCGACGGGACCACCCACAGGCACGTGGGGATGCTGGGATCTGGGTGGTGTTGTCAATCGCGGCCCACCGAACGGCCCTGTCGTTTAAACCAAGTAAGCCAGCATGCCAATGGCAACTGCGGCGGCAGCACCCTTGCCTGCTGGCGCCATGGTAGGGGCAGCGAAGCCGTCAGACGAGGTCGAGGTCACGGACTCGCCAGTTGCTTCAGAGGTACCTGAAGACTTGGTGGCAGAGGCGGTTGCGGTTTGAGACTCGGTGGTGCTCGAAGATTCCTCGCTGTCATCGACGTCGGGAGGGCCCTGGGTGGCGCAGAGGTCACCAATGTTGGAGGTACACTCCCGCTGGTCACTGGCGCTGCCGGTGTTGGAGGCGATACACTGCGAGTAAAGTTCCTCGCAGATGAAAGTCGGGACGGTCTGAGTGTAGTACTGCAGGCCGGGCGTCGAGCTGTTGGAGGCGCACGTGCACTCCCATGAAAGGTCGGCCTGCAGGAAGACCTTGTTAGAACCAAAGAGATTGGGGCAGGGACAGTGAGGGATAGCTTACCTGGGTGCAACTGTTGTCTCCCGTGTTGTTCTCGCAGAGAAGTTCGCAGGTGTTGGTCTGAGCCTGGCACCACGAAGCTATGTCAAGAGTCAGCGAAATGGTTCATGTGAAGCATGGGTGCGTTGGTACATACCTCGCTCCTGGGCCTCGACCGTGTTGGGGTCAATGGTCATGTTGAGCGAGCTGGTGTAGTTTGCGACCTGGGCGGAAACCGCACCGGCGGCAACAGCGAGTAGAGCAAGCGAGAAGCGCATTTTTGCGAGAGAAAGGGCGCGAATCTGGGGTTGGTGAGACAGCGAGTGGTAAAAGGGCGAGATAAAGGGTGTTGGAGCTCTACGAGAAAGAGAGCTGCTGGCGGTGAGTTGGTGGTATGATGATGCTGGTGATACGGCGATGTCGTGTTTTTTGTGATGTTGTTTGTGGTGGAGTGACTTGGATATGCTAGAGTAATTGCTAGCTGCGGGCGGAATGGGAGCTTTTGTAGGCGCTCTGTGGCACGTTTGGAGCTTGAGGGAGACGCAAACAGGGAAGAGACAGGGCGAGGGGATTCAGGGCCAAGGGCGGGAGCAATGGGCTTTATGAGCGAGACAATTGGAAAAGGAAACCACGGGTCGAACTCGGGGCACTAGGCAGTTGGCACTGGCAAGCTGCTGGGCAAGTGGCCGGCCTCGGTTTGATTAATGCTGTAACGAACGATGCTTCCAGACCCGGCCGGTTGAGTCGGCCGGCACGCGCCCTCTCACTCAGCACTCAGACATTCGCCGCTAATTAATTGCTTACCAGCTGAACTAACCAGCTCATCTGGGTAGCTAGCCTAGCTACCGACCAGCTATCTTAGCTGCCATACCTGCGCCTACGCGTACTACTGACACAATCAATGGGCGGAAGAAAGAAAGAAAGAAAGAAAAAGGTACGATGCACACGCATTCCCACGCTAAAACCCAGGACCGAGACCAAGACTAAACAGAGCTAGGCCGGTTCGGATCGCTGCGACGCACACCAGGCTCGTCGAGTCCCTGTCATCATCGATCCCCGCCTGTCCCCCCAGCCCACAGTCCGCTGTCCCACGCACTTACCAGGCCTTAGGTACCTGAAGTATCCACTAATAGACACCCACTGGACCACTGAACCCGTTGGCCTCCCGTTTTCAACAAGACAAGATACCAGTGCCCAGACATCTCGTCAGGCTGCTCGTTCCGCGTACGTACGAAATGCATGCCCACACACACAAAATCCAGGTAGCACACACCCTCCTCTCGCTCGTCCCAGCTACTTGCAGGCCATTGCCGTCGTCGTCACCGTCTGCAGTCCACCAGTCGCAAGGTTTGAGATCTGGCAACACGAGGTCGCCCGCAGCCCGCAGCGTCGTCGTGCAAAATGGCTGGGGGCAACCCAGCAACCAAGCCGCCTTCGATAGCGCGGCAACACAACGCAATGCCAAGCAACACCAACGCCAAGAAACGCAACGCATGGGTTGCTGCAAAGTCTCGGCATCACGCTAACAGCGAACTTGGTCCCATGTTTGCCCTCGGTCCTTCGTAATCGTTGTTCACGTTCTCTCGTTTCTCCTCGCCCGCCCCGGCCCGCCTATCTACACGCGCAAAAGCCCCCCGGTTCTAGCCCTGCAAGTACGTCACGACTCACGCACTCCATCCCAGCCCGGCCGAGCGACACCAAGTCCTCCATGTTGACATGCGTAGAGAGCTGTCAGCGGGCCAATGGCATTGGCTTTGTCTTGTCACCTACTCCAGAGTGGTGATGGATATCGACACGGACCATCTTGGCAGCCACCCGGATTGCCGCATGGTTGAGGCGCGAAGGGCAATATACGACCATTTGTCAACTTTCAGCAATCAGAGGCCGAACGTCGAGACCGCTCTGGTTCGTTGCGTGACGGATTGCTACTGTTGGTTGGCTCCGACATTGCAAGCAAGGCTTCTCAATGTGTACATTGCATCAAGGTCCGCTTGCGCGCCCCGTAATGCCATCCAGCTCTTGATGTGAGGCTGGGTCCTACAGGTCGTTGTGCCGCGCCTGCGGAACTTCGGGACCACCGGCGAGTGGCAACGAGGAAAGAGGCATTTTGCCTCTGTTAACCCCGACAAGCCCTTCGGCATCATCATCTTTCACCACGGTCCAGGCCTATCGCGCCCGCCCGCTCGCCAAGAATTTAGCCTGCCTTCAGCGGTTCTAGGGTCAACTGGTCGCTTGAGCGAGGGAGGGTGACGATGAATCAAATGCCCCGGACCATATGGCCAGGTTGGGCATCTCATCTTATTCAACCACACTCAAATTCCAAAGCCGTGTCTCCCGCACCATCACCTCATATCCTTTTCGACTAGGAGTCGAAACACCTTATCTCCCCTGGCACGCTGCCCACTCAACATGTAACTGGCCTGCCTTTCGTAGTCCACAGGACTGTGGCACGAATCACAAAGTTTTTAGATACCGGAATGGTCCCCCTTCCACCTCGCCGCCCCATCCAATTATTGTAACTTTTTTTTCTCCGTTGTCCAGTTCACCCGCTCATTTCTCTCAAATGAATGCGACTCCTCTCATTCATCTCATTCCCCGTTATCGCTAGAGAATTAAGCGGATATTGGATTTCGACTTTCGACCCCTCCAGGCCCGGCCAAAGCCACACATGGGTCTCGTTTCCCCTCAGGACCATTCATTATACCTGGAGCTCGAAAGTTGAAACGGGTACCATCATGATCCGACAGAAGCTGTCGCGGAGCTTGCGTATCGAGCTCCCGATAGCTGCCACCAATCATACATGGCAATCTGTGCCCCGCATGCGACCAAAGGAACGGCGTGCAATAGTGACCCAACCAAGTCGGCCCTCCTGTGCCGGGTTGCCCCCTGTTACCAGCCTCCCGTCCGCATTACCTGCTGCATGTGGTAATCGTCATGGTGAGCCAACCACTCCCAGCAGCCATGCTTGAAATGTTGAGATGGCGGGTGTGCGTGTCTAGGAACTAGCAGTAACCATGTGAACGTCTTGTTTACTGTGTTTGACGTTTTGCAGTCTTTGTCAACCCCGACTGCCTGCCTCTCTAAGCAAGTGAGCAGTCAGTCAAGGTATATCGTGAGTCAGACAGAGAGAGTGTGGTGTGTGGTTGTTGGTACGGTACAAACGGCCAAAAAAAAAAAGGAACATGAGGTTCTTTTTCTCTCTCGCTGGAAAGCAAAAATACTTGATAAGACTGGGACTCGAACCCAGGCGGATTGCTCCAGTAGAATTTTTCTTGCGTTTGGCAAGCAAGCTGACGCTTGAGTCTACCGCCTTAACCACTCGGCCATCTTACCCATTTGTTGATGTCCTGGCCGCTGAATGCAAACTATACACCCCGCTGAGGGGTCACGCTTCAGTGGGGGCACAGAGTGACACACATCGAACATCAGACCCATTAGCGATCTGTGACTGTGTGGCCAAACCCAACTCAAACTTGATGAAACAAGCAAAGAGAGTGAAACAAGATGGATCCAGTTAAGGTTGAGGTTGCGAAACACTCAGGGAGTGAGTACTAGAATAGAGTTACGGAGGCAACAAACGGACGCAGCAGATAATTATGCCTTCTCTATGCGGGTTGACCATGCAAGGAAGGGAACTGCCGAGTTACTTATTAAGCTGAGGAGGTGTTGTTAACCATGATCAGTTAAGGACTATGCGTCCGCCCTCTTGCCAAGACAGTTTATGAATGGAACCAAGAAAGTGTGAGGCGGCAGACTGAGGACTAGGCCGTAGAGAAGAAGCTCAGTTCGGCAATGGGCACCGGGACTTGTTCCATGCATGGTGACAAGATAAACGAATGCCCCTGGAAAAGGTCTTCGCTTCAGAAGCAGGTTGTTCTGCACACAGAAATTAACCCTAAAATATATTGGAAACAGTCACATGCGATTCAGTTTCGGTGCACCATTTCACCGCTCTTGGCTGAGTCTATTATCACCGGCCCAGACCCTCAATGACCGAGCATTCTCTTGACGGCTGGAGTCCTCAATTCCTCAAGTTGATGGAATCTCCACACGTGCTTGTGTCCTTAGTATTCAACCTTTCAGCACACCCTGCTGGAACAGATAAATCCCAATCAAGAGGGTAGGCATAATCGCGATTACAGTAGCCGCCTAGTCCAAAGTGTAAAATTCGGGAAGCCAGGCAATCAAGAAAGCAAGCCTGTTTTGTTTGTATTTCTGTCAATTCGGCAGACGCCCGTCCGAAAGGCGTTTTGTTTTTGCACATGCAGGTCACGATGTTGATGCCGCTCCCTGCAATGGGCGCACACGCGCACGCGCACGTCTTGCTGAAGTAACGGATATGCAATTGTCCTGTCGCTTTGTTTGATAGGCGTGGACGGCCAGCAAAAATGAATTGCGCTTCAGTTCGGACTGCCGAGTGCCGTGGTAGTCATCAGCGCTTAGGTGTGTACCCCGTGCCGGTCTGCTGAAGAAGCAACTCAATTACAAGTGCGTGCGTGTACAAAGTGGACCGAATCATCATCTGGCAGCTCAATTCGTCTACATTCTCTTGAAGACTCGGCAAATCCTGGCGGGCTGCTATGGATGTAGATGGAGAATATTGCTCCTTTGAGTGCAAGTCACATCTCTCCCCTACCGGGGACTGTTGCCGCCAACAGTTCCGTATTATCCTCGATGATTGCTATCAGTTATGACAACCCACTAATCCATTCAGGAAGAGACTTCTTGAGGTTTTCACCGCATCTAATACCAAGGAGGATAAAATTGCTTCTTTGACCAGCCAGAGTTCTCCATCCGTGGTATGCGGCCTGACGTAGCCCAGTCACAACCTCGAGTCTCGTGTAGGTTCAGCTCTAGGCGTCAATCTTGGTGGTCCAGTTGAGCATGCCACGTTCTTGTGGCACTCCGGGGAAGCCCTGTCCTGGGATCCGCGGTATCCAAAGCACGCGAGGCGGCCGTTGTCATTGAAGAGGACCTGGTCTTCTAATGTTAGTGCGTGAGTCATGAAGATTGGATGGGTATCTTACTCAGGTCAAGCACCGTCTCCTGGGGTTGCTTGTTTCCGCCGTAGCAGTTGCATTTGAGATAGCAAGTTCGGTATCCATTTGATCGGACACTCTCAAGGATGCAGTTCTCGCAGGACTCGTGGTAGTTGCCGCTTCCCAAGGTTAGTACTTCCCCGTGTCCGCTGACCATGGCATATGCTCGAGAAACTCACTCATTGTAGGCTACGAGAGAGCCGCGATTGTTCGCAATGCAGTGTCGGAGTTCGATTCTAAACAAAGGTTAGTATCGGGGCCCAAACATGCCGGGGGCGGAATACCCACAGGGAATACGCGTAGCTGAAGGCAAGCAAGTCAGGGTTCTCTGGGAAGCAGTAGAACCCAACTGCGTCCTCGCTGTAGAACTGGGCGTCCATGGGCTGGCAACCTTGAGAGAATGACTGGACGGCAAGCGAGGCATGAAGCCACGCCAAGCCAAGAACAAGATACTTGATTCCCGAGTAGAGCATGATGAGTTGCGTTCGAGTTTTGCGATATCTGATGATTTGGTACGGCTGTGAGTGAGTAAGAATAGAGGTTTCGGTGAAGTTGCTGCGTGGTCTCGAGTGTTGTGGTGAGGGTGGAAGGTAAAGGAACGTGTGGGTGCCTCTTCAACGTGCAGGAGGTGACGCGACGGAGGCTGGCACTTGGCAGACAGCTGTGATGAGATCGGATGCATTCCGTCGTTAATACGTGAGTGTTTAACGAGATCTATCGGTCTGGCCCTGGACTGTTATTGACTTCCGGAGCAGCCCGTCTGCTATCTGTCGAAAGGGTGCTCATTGGGTAGAACATGACTTTTAGGCAGATCACTGTAATTCGCAGCCGAAAAGCTAGCCACCTCTCAACTGCGCTAGTAGGATTCACGGCAGATCGTCTTATGAGTTGTGTGTGTATCGCAAGTTCCCATGGGCACCTAATTGTTCTCGAGCGTCTGCGAGCACTTCACTAGTCACAATCAAATCCACTCCCATCTAATCCTTTTTCTTATTTTCTTCTTCCAAATACTAAGCTATGTGATTAGGACAGGCTTGGTCGGCACACTACAGCAATTACTCGATGACATAGTTGAACATGTCTCCCACATCGTTGAGAATGTGTGCTCGACTATTCTTTCATTAACGACTGCTTGATCGGATGGTCTTCAGATTTATAGCGAGAATCTCTTGATTAAACTCCAACGCTGTTGTCTGGTATGACGCAATGCGAGACTATGAGGAAATTATCACGTTGCCTGTGTAATTCGATGTGTAAAACAGCGTGAGCATGTTTTCGTGGTCGATTGCTACGGCATTACGGGCTCCAGGGTAGGTCACATGAGAGAGAATGAAGCTGCCCAGGCGGGCAGGGGTTTGGTGTTTGGCACAATTAGTGGACCTAGTGGTCCCTAGACGCATGTTTGATGACAAGCTGCCCGCTGGAATTCCACTATGCGCCCCAGTAATGACCACCACTTATCAACACCACTCCTCATCCCATCCCATCCCTTCTTTTGCATCAGCGAACTCCAACCGCATCTGGCCGCTCTCGCTCTCGCTTGTCACCGCCAAACTAAAGCTGCGATCTATCGAAATTGGCCGATGTCATGCCGGCATTACAGATGCACTGCGAATGTCGTTGACCTTTTTGTCTATCCCCAACGCCGACCCTCTAGCACGCCATGGACCAGCTCCCGCGAGAGCTCGTCGACGCGATCCTGCACCAATGTGTCAGCCGTGGCCCCAAGAACAACGTCCTCCAGCTCCGTCTCGTCTGCCGAGTATTCGACCAGATACTCAAGCCCTTTGCTCTGCGCACGCTTGACCTCGAGTTTTCACGTTTGAGCAAGACGAGTGGGGAGGCGCATCCGCGAGTCGATGCGCTACAGACGATCGGTTACCATTGCAAGAGCTTATATATCGATCTCATGGTCTTGCGGGATGACTGTGTGTGCTTCCAAAATATGTTACCACCGAGTATCGATTGAGAGCTAACGTGACCATATAATAGTAGAAGTAGAGTTTCTCGATACCGTCTTCGCCCGCGTCCCTTCCATGACCGGCTTTTGTCGCACACTACACGAAAAGTACTGCATGAACGAGACATCATTTACCGAATCAGACTACTACCGAAGAGTCGAGGATCTTTTGTTCAACTGCCGAGATATCGATCGATTGCGTCTTAACCTCCCCTTCCAGCTCGTCGGCCGACATTGCAGGGCCGCCACCATGATCCTTGCCAATACCCTTAAGGCGTTTGCCAATCGTCCCGAAGAAGATTCGGCGCAGCTAAACACCCTAGTACTGGAAAACGTGACGGATATCGCAATATGTCATCTCTGGCTGAACCCCAGCGATGTAATGAATATCATGGCGGTTTTGGAGGTACTGGAACACCTCATCATGACGTTACGAAGACACGAAAGCGAACCTCAGCGCGTTGGATTATTTGGATCTTGTCTATGGAACCTGGTGGAGAATGCAGAATTTCTCCAGAGTCTGTGTCTGATAGGGATGGACCACGACGACCGCCCTCGAAGCTTGAAGCTGACCAAGGCGTGGCAGATGCCTGTGGAGGAATGGCGAGCGCGGTCCCTGCCCTCTCCACATGTTATTTTGTCTAATTTGACATGTCTCGAGCTGAAGCGAATCGAGGTATCTCCCGAGGTTATGGTTCGAGTGGGGGAGAACTTTGGGTCGACACTTCAGGAGCTCTATCTGAACGAGGTCTATCTGAAGACGGAGCAATCGCAGGACTGGAACGAAGATTCGACCAAGGTGCTCTGGGTAGGGTTGCCTAACCAACGCCCTGCCGAGGATTGTCACTGGATTGCGATGGGCCTGAGATCTACGGCAACACACCTGCGCGTTTGTCGAGCGTCGTTCCTGGCATATGACCACTACCTCCGGGAAGACGTCGCTGGAGAAGCTGAATTCGACCTTGACGATCCTTGCGGCCTGGGCCGGAGCATCTCACAACGCTTTGTTGAGGTCGTCATGGGCATTCGACAGCCGAACATGCCCAACGGGGACCCGGTCGAGTACCTCGCCCGTGACTCGAAGAACGATGCCCCCCTAGCCCAGCTTCACCCGCGGAGCCGTGCACCCCGGGTTACCGAGTATGACACAAACGCATACCAGACAGCCGTCGCCAACACCACCTCCGAGTGGCATCGCAGCATCGACGGCATATTCCCCAATTGCAATTCCAACACGCTCGATGAGCTGCACTTTATCGCGGAGACGGCATGCCAGGGCATGAATGAGATACACCACCGAAGGAACGAGTGGACCGCGGGCAGCAGCATGGCCA